TGCACAAGCTTACACATGCATATTGAAGCCAGATGACAACCTCAGGTACTGTTCATGTCTTTTTGATTTTTTGAGACAGGGTTTCTCACTGGCCTGAAACTCACTAATTAGGTTTAAGCTATTTGGCCAAATGAGCCCCGAGAACCTGCCTGTCTCTGGCTTGCCAGATCTGGGATTACAAGGACACACCACTGCTCCTGGTTTTCGCATGGGTTCTGGGGATCGAACCCAGGTCTTGGTGCAAGAAGCACTTTTGTGACCGAGTCGCATCCCTAAGCCCATTGCTTACCTGTGATGCACTTCACTTGGTGGCATAAGCTGTTGAAAAGCACGGTTGTCTCTGACGGATCCTGTTCCAGGCACTGTCCTAATCCCCACTTCCTCTCCGTGTCTGGAGAGAAGCCTGCTCTCACTGGCCTCAGGTATTTAGTCACTAGCTCAACCCCTCAAGTGTGATCAGCCTCCATCACCACTCCCTCTCCTCCTCAGGTCCCGTGCCCCAACATGGCTCACCCCATGGAGTACTTGGTTGCTCTTTGGCACTTCCTTGGTTCTGCTGTCTTATACCAGTTTGGCCATCCCAAGAATGCACCCCTCTCATCTCTACTGGCTCTCCTTATACTGGGCTTTTTGGCCATAAGCCCTCATGCAGATTACCCCTCCTCATGTGGACGCCTATATGGTGACTTCATTCTCCTCACCCTGCTTGGGTTCTGACATCCCCCATCTGGTGTGATGGTTGATATTGTCACAATCCGGAATCACTGAGGAGACAAACCACTGGACGTGCCTGTGAGGGAGTTTCACGATGAGGTGAGTCGGGGTGGGAAGACCCACACTAGATGTGGGCAGTGCTACTCCTTGGGCTGGGGTCCTGGATGGAATAAAAAGGAGAAGGCAAGCTGGCCACATGTATCCCAGGGTTCATGTTTCCTGACTGCGGCTGCAGCGTGAGCAGCTGCCCTCCCGACTTCTTCACCAGGGCGGACTGGACCCCTGACCCGTGAGCCATGACAAGCCATCGCTTCCTTCAGTTGCCTTTACCAGATGTTAACCTGATTCCCCAGGGGTGTCTCAAGCCTCATCCTGTCTGCCTCTTACATTTCTTGTTCTTGTGACCAAACTCCTTCCAAGGAACAACTTAAACGAGGGAGGGTTTATTTTGGCTCACATTTTGAGGTACTATGGCCCCCCCGGGATGAGAAATAGTGGCAGCCGGCTCCACGCAGCAGCAGCGACGTGAAGCTGCTTGCTTGCCTCTCAGCAGATCAGGAAGCAGAGAAGGGAGTGCCTGTGCTCAGCCGGCCTCACTCCCACTCCAGCCTGGAATTCTGCCCCTCTGCTGGGGCCACTCACGTTCAGAGTGGGTCTTCCCTCCTCAACTAGTCCTCCCTGGAAATGCCCTCACAAACATACCCAAAGATGTGCCTCAGCGATATGCTCTAGCTGTTTCTTTATCCATTCATGTGGACAATGAAAATGGACACTCCGTAACTTCAGGACTGACCTGCCCAAGCGGAGGCTGGCAAAGTTAGTAAAGAAAGTCACGTAGTTGGGTGTTAGCATGTGATTGAGGGGTGACTTGAGACCGGGAAGGGCCCTTGCCTTCCGCTGATAAAAGCTTCATGAAAATCAGCCGGGCGGTGGCAGCACACGCCTTTAATCCCAGCACACGGGAAGCAGAGCCAGGCGGATCTCTGTGAGTTCGAGGCCAGCCTGGTCTACAGAGCGAGTTCCAGGAAAGGCACAAAGCTACACAGAGAAACCTTGTCTAGAAACCTTGTCTCGAAACCCCCCCCCCCCAAAAAAAAAAAGAAAAAAAGAAAAAAGAAAATCTACCTACTTGGCAGAGCAACAAAGATTTTAGAAGAGGAGCCTTCTTAATGGGATTTTAAAGGGCGGTGAAGTTGCCTCCTCAAGGAAGGAACCAGTCTCCCTGTCCCCTATGCCCTGACCTTTCCTTAGCACACTGACTCATTATCAGAAGGGCTTAGCAGAGCCATGGGCAGGTGGACAGAACGTTTGCAGCTGAGCAGGCCTGGCTCCAGGGCTAAGCTTGCCGTTTACAGACCCTTGGGCAATTCACCTGCATCCTGAGCCTCAATTTTCTCTTGTGTAAAGTGTAGGGCCTGTTAATCCCTGCCTCTGCCTCGAAGGTTTGTTCTGTAGATCTGCAGGGCAGGACCGTAATGGGTATTCAGTTAGCACCACATCCTTTGCACTCTCTCAAAGAAGTGAACATGCCTCTCCCCCCAGACGTGCAGGGCAGAATGGGGAACAATTTCTATCCTGGCCTTTGTCCCCACCAGAGGTCTTTAGCCTGCACAGCAGCCTCAACCCCATAGCCAGCCACCCCCATGGTCTCTGTGGGTACCAGCATCTTTGTGGCTAGCTTGATTGTCCAGGACTCCAGTTTTTTTTTTTTTTTTTTTTTTTTTTTTTTTTTTTTTTTTTTTTTTTTTTTTACCCCCATGAAGACTCGGGTAGATTTTCTCCTTCTCCGAAGTTAAAGAAGTCATACATCAAGCAGTCTTGATTGAAAGGTCCTGTGGTGACCATGTGAAGTGAGCAGTTAGCCACAGGCCCAAGGAAAGGAAGGCCAACGCTTCCTGCCTTTGGTGTTGATAACAACAAATTAAGTTGGCTGTGAATCGTACCTTTTGTGTAAGTCATTGTCCTCGCTGTCTTTGTTTTTGGCTGAAAAGCCAATTTAGCTTTTCTTTGTGAATCATTTTGGTGAGTCAAGTAGATGCTATCTTTGTTTGTTGGCTAATAACTCGCCCTTTAAAAGTTATAATATCACTTCCACTTTCATAATAGAGGTGAATTTAGGCCTTGGAACTTATGACTTTAGCTTAAAACTGTCTTGGCTCATACAGTCTTAGGACCTTCTTTTTGGCCAGAAGCCGGCACCTCAGCCAGTGCAGACTCGTGAACTGGGGTTGTAGTTATTATCGTAGTCACAGACTCTGACTGCATCATTCGTGTGGGAACTCTACTTCTAGTTATGGCAGCCGCTTCCTGGGACAGGAATACCTTTGAAACCAAGAACGTCTTAGATGATGAGTGGAATGTGAGATGAAGCTGGGATACAGGTTAGTTGGTAGGATGAGTGCCTAGCATGCAGGAAGCCTTGGATTTGATCCCCAACACTGCAAAAAACTAGGCACTATGGCAGGAGAATCAGGATTTCAAGGTCATCCTTAGTTACATAGTGAGTGTGAAGCCAGCCTGGTCTTCAGAAGCTGTCTCAAAAGTAAATAAAAAACAAAAAAATGCAAATGACTTTCTGAAAGTGTGTGTGTGTGTGTGTCTTCAATGATACACCCACCTCCTTTAAATAAATTAATCAAGGAGGCTCAAGATTTTAGTTTATCTCACTCATGGAGTGCTTATGGAACACACATGCATCTCAGATGAAAGTCAGGATGCCAGGGACTAGGCTATGCATTACACGTGGTCTTTTCTTTTGAGGTATTCACTGCCTGGCTAGGAGGATTAGTGGGACACTATGTGACATGGGGTGTGATACTACATGGCAGAATCTAAAATCACCTGTGATATATGGGCCCCTCAATATGTTTGTGAGATACTATATTGATTACATTAATAAGAGATGAGAAGACCCACCCACTATGGGTGGCACCATTCCCTAGCTGGGATCCTGGATGGTGTAAGTGGAAAAAGAGAGCTGAGCAGTGACAACATTCACCACTCTCCACTTCCTGACTATGGATGTGATATGACTAGCTGCTTCAAGCCCCTGCTGCCTTGATTTCCCCACCAGAATAAACTGTATCTTGACCTGTGAGTGGAATAAATCCTTTCTTTTTAAAGTCGTTTTTTTTTTATTGGAGTATTTATTGTAGCAATAGGAAAAAAAGACTAAGACACCATCACTTTAATTCTTAGCTCAGTAGGGAGAGCCGCCCTGTCTCTTTGGCCACAGATAAAGCTATGGTGAGTCCTAATGCTAATTTCATGGAGGCATACTGTGGCTGCTGAAAGGATGCTGACTTGGATCTGAGACCCACTGTGTCCTGCTGTGTCAGGGGACCTGGAATCCAGCACCATCTGGGAACTCCCCCTGTGAACGTTAAGACTCATGTCCCCTTGTAGTGTGACATGCTAGCTGTCACCCAAAGAGCCAGAGTCACCACTGCACATATGAATTAGGTCCCCACTGGTACACTCTTAGGTGACTAGGATTCCCCCTACATCCTTGCCACTGATGGCTGGTGGAGAGCCTCAGTAAAGCTGGCCAGACTGAGTGGCTGCTTTTTGTTGAGTCTGCTCTGGCAGAATACACCGTCCTAATTAAATGTTTCTTTCCCATATAAAATTCCACAGTGCCTTAATTCAAATTAGAAAGTCACTGTTGTGACAGATGATGTCATTTAATTTTAGGATCATTGTGCTTCTGGTTATTCAACTGCAGACTAAATTGGACCCTATCTTGAAGCTTTTGTGCATTTTTGAAGCATTAACGTGTGTGCAAATGTCACGATGGGAGCGTGGATTCCCTTCTGCTCCGAGGGATCCGTGATGTGGGTGATGACGGGGCTGGCTAGCCACTTGGCTGCTTTATAACCTGGTTATAAACTGGTGAAACCAGTTCTGAAATGGAGCCGCTGCTTCTCCTGTGTCTGATGCCCACAGACTGTCTTAGTCATGTGTGTCAGAGGAGCCCACCATTGGCCTCTTCTCCCCTCCCTTGAACCCTAATTCGGACCCCAAGGACAGCCTAAAGCTGCTCCCATCTCTCCCCTTCTCTCCCCTCTTCCACATTGCAACCAAGAGCCCTTGGCCCTGTCGTCAGACCCCACTTCCATTGTATAAATAAGATAGGATCTAACAAATATGCTCAACTGGAAAGCTGCCTATTGGTGACTATGGGGGTCCATCCCCTCAATAGTCCCCTCCCAGGGCTCGGGAAGAATCTGCAACCAGCTGATAATTAATCTTTGAAGAAAGGAAATGAATCTATGTACACGAAACTCCTTAGTCCACACATTTTTTATTGTCAGTTCTCTCTCTACAAGCTTATACTCTGCTCTCATTTTTAGCTCCTTTCTTGCCCAGTTTCTCCTTACATATATCAGTTGTCCCCTCCAGGTTCTATCTTAATTCCTTCATCTAGTTCTGCCTCTTCTAGGTTCTCATCCATCTAGTTCTTTCCCCTATCAGCTCCTCTCCCATCTCCTTCTCTCTCATCTTGTTCTTCCTCATCTTGTTCTTCCCCATCTGGCTCTTCCTCATCTTCCATCTCATTCCTCTATTACTCTCCTCTAGCCCTTCAGTCTAGTTCTTCCCCATCTCAGTTTGTTCCTCTCAAGTTCTTACCCATCTAGTTCTTCCATTCTCTTTTCTCTTCTCTGTCCTCCAGTGCTCTGGAAGTCCCGGTATATATACACTTATAAGCAGTATTCCCTTAGCAGTGCAAAGCCAGGCTTCCAGGGTTAAATGGAGGGGTGATAAGAATCACATAGAGAGGTAATAGCCATTAGTTATCATTTGCAACCCCAAAGGGAAGTGACCAATGGGGAAATGAATTAACTAAAGGCTAAATTTGGGTAATATCTAAGAAGAGGGATCTTATGTGCTCAACTATAGTCTTAAACGTGATTAGTAGAAAATGTTAAGAATCTATAAGTTGTTAGGTCAATGGGAGAAAATAAAACTGCCTTCTTTTTTTCCTGTGGCTCCTGTCTGTCCAAGCTATCTGCCGTTTTTCTGCAGGGTGGGGGAAAGTGTGCTCAGTTGCTAGATGATCCCTCTGGTGATAGTTAAAGGGAGATCTGGAACTGGAGGAAAGATTTGGGAAAGGAGGTAGTTAAGCTTAATTGGCACATCTGCCAGGCCTTCTCAAACAGGTAGCCTGGATGCTTTAGTCTGTACTTAGAGAGTACAGAGGTATCTCTGATAAGGTACTTTCCTCCATCTGGAGATGGACCTGGCCAGATGCTGCCAATGATGATAATTACAGGGAGGCTTGAACTGGGGTTCTGACTGAGCATAGCTATCAGCTCAGAAGGTTATCTAAATATTCCTAGAAGTGGTTAGGTAAGGAGTTAGAGGTCTATAAAGTTAGTAAGGCTATAAGAAAGGAGGGTATGACTAAGTTGTGTAAAACTATTACTTAACATCCACCTGACCTAGGCAGTGTCTCCTTGTGGAATTTATCTTAAATCAGGAGACTTGCATGTGGGCTGTTATTACTGCTAGTCCTTGAAAGTGGCCAAGGGAGATATCTGATTCCAGAGGAAGGCTTTCCTGAGGCTGTTCTCCAAAACCTGGAATGTGTATGTCCAGAGAGTGATCAGTCCACACTGTTAGCCCTTCTTAGGGAAAAGTCAATTGGGAAAACTATGAAGGCACACATAATTTTCATAACAGAAGACAGCTGATATATAACAAGCCAAATAACACCAAAAGCTTCTTGGAATTTGGCTTCCTCTGGAGGAATTCCCTGATCCCTCCAGGTAGTGACTTTGCCATAACCAGCTGAGTTCTTAGGATGTATTTCTGCGGTCCGCAGCAGCCGCCTCCACTTCTGATCCTTTCCCCACTTCCTGTTGCTCCTCAGCCTTACTCATACCTGAATGCTCTCAGGCCTTCTGAAGTTACAGGCAAGGCTCCCTCTGAAGGAGCAGTGCCTTCTTCCAGATGAACTGAGCCTGGAGCTTCCCAGCGTTGCCAGCCAATATGTTCTTTCCTTGCTTGCTGGTGTCTTCTGCAGCAGGGCTCCTGACTCCAGAAGCCCTTCCTTCTGGGCCTCAAACAGCTTTCGGCTCAGCTTTGGAGTCCCCCCCCCCCCCAGTATTCTCTGGTCCGTTCCTTTGTTTCTGGGCGGCCTGCCTGTGTTCATATCCACTGCTCTGTCACACACCACCACTGTGTGGCCTTAGCACACTCTACTGCTCTTCCTCCACCTCGCTCTACCCCCAGAAGTTCTCAACCTGTGGGTCATGACCCCTTTGGAGGCGGGCTCAGATGACCCTTTCACAGGGGTCACATATCAGATATCCTTCCTATCAAATATTTACGTTGTGATTCTTAATAGCAGCAAGATTATAGTTAGGAAGTAGCAGTGAAATAATTTTATGGTTGGGGGTCACCACAACGTGAGGAACTGTATTAAAAAGTCACAGCATTAGGAAGGTTGAGAACTACTGCTCTACTCCTGGGAGGAGGCAGTGAGGGGTGCATAAGCCTCTGCTTCTAAGGTGTGCAAACAGCATCCCGTGACTTACTCAGGGCCACCCATTTGGCATGCTGTGAGGCCCTATAACTTTATCAAGAGTGTGTCTTTAAAGGATAGTGTCTTCTTCTCTAAAAATGGGAAGATTTAAACCTGAGGACCCTTGATGTCACCTTCTAAAGCTCTGAAAAATTCAGAGCCTCCGAGTCCCTGGAGCTCTGCAATGAGCCTCTTCTCTATGAGCTCAGCCCCCAAAGGCAGCCATAGTACTGTCACCAGGCATTGTAGACTGACCCTCCCCACTGACTTCACACTTGGCCAAGAGCTTGAGAGCTCCCTCCCTTGAGATGTTAGGATTGGTCCTGGGACTCCCTTTGGCCAAGTGAGGGAGGGGCATTATGTTACATGGAGAACACCCTCCCAAAGAGGTTATCATCCCCGGACACTGAGTAAGTGTCCTCGCACAGACTTGGGTGATATGACTCTGTCCATGTCACACCCGAGAGAAGGAACTGATCCTGGATTATCCAGGTGGGCTAAAGTGATCGCCTGGGTTGTCAGAAGAGAGTGGGGTACAGGGCTCACAGACAGCAGGTTACATGGCAGTGAAGGCCGCAGGGGGAGGTGAAGCCAGGGCCCAACCACAGAGTGAGTGCCAGGGCTTCTAGAAGCCAGAACGACCAGAAGACTGATTCTGCTCTGAAGCATCCAGAAGCTTCCAGCATCCAGCTGGACCACTCTGGGGCCACCCTGGTCTTAGCACTTCTGACCTCTAGAACTGTGGGGTTAATACAGTTAAGCCAGTGGGTCGGCGATCCTTTGCCACAGTGGTTTCAAGGACCTCAGACAGATTGGGTATGAACTTCTGAGAAATCTACAGAGCAACATGGGTATGGCTGTCTTTCTTTTCCCTCCATCTTGAGGATACCCACATCCTGGAGAGATCCAGACCAGAGTACACCAGGACCTATCTGAGGGAGGAAGTTAGGTTGAGAGCTGCTACCCTGGCCTCCTAGTATCCCTTAGGGAACTGCACCTGTACTCCTCTTGGGAAGCAAAGGATCTGTCTTGTGAAAGTGCCATCAGGGCCCTCAGGGACCAGGCTTTATGGTAGCTCTCCTGTTGAGCATGTGGCAGGTGGACACCCACCACTTGGGTTCCTGGGCAGCTGATAGTCTGAGCGGGAAGACATCAGTACAAATAGACGCATATGTGATTTTCTGCTTAGTAATCCCGCTGTACACACTGAGGAAAGGGATATCACGTAGTGAAAGACTCTTCCAGGGATTGATGCTAAAATTGAGATGCACAAAGATGGGGGATATTTCAGCCAGCATAGGAGACACTGTGGCCCAGCTCTTGGAAGGTCTGGCCCAGAGGGGCTGCGGCTGTTTGCAGGGAGAGATGAGGAAGTGGACTTAGCTCACCCAGAGCCACAGGATCTGCTGACTCAGGCCACTCCGGGGTCAAGGGACTTCATTTGATCAAGAGGCAGTGGATGCCAGCGAAGGTTTTAAGTAGGACTGAAATTTGCAATTTCACTTAAGAAAATAGCTGTTTTGGCTGGAGTTTGGAGATTAAGTGGAAGAGGGCAGACGTGGCAGCAGCGGGAGGCCAGAGGGGGCGGCTGTGAGCTCAGGCTGGAGCTGGGGTCTCAGACTGTCACCATGGCCGTGGGTGGTGTTGTTTGGATCTGAAGTACGTTTCCAAGGGACAGAGGATTGGCTGTGGTGTGAGCGGTGGTGACCAGCAGCAAGACGGAGGGTGGGCTGTTGATGGATAGGCAAGTCTGGGTAGGGGTCTGGCTTAAGGCGGGGACAGGAAATTCATCTGAGGAGGCCTTGGCACCGAGGACCTGCCTTGACATCCTCGGGGAGATGCCAAATTGACAGTTGTGTGCATGAGTCATGCTCAATACACAGAATAAAAGTGAAGATTTAAAGGGCTCAGGAAAACGTTTCCATGTTCGCACTCGGCAAACATTCAGTGTGTGCACTGGGCAAATAACACCGTGTTTGGTTCTGCCGCGGATCTGGGATCTCCGCGCTCCCTATTTCAGCCTCAGAAGCCAGGACAGAGCAGGTCTTGGGGCTGTTCTGGTCCCTCTCTGACCTGAGGCCTTTGCTAACCCTACTAAGTGCTTTAGCTATCTAATGACCTCGCTTAAGTTAGCATGGACTTCATTCTCAGAGAGACACAGACCTGCCCCTGCCTCATTTTTGATGGGGCAGCTCTCAGGCCCCTTAGCTGGATCCTAAGTTCAGATCTCACAGGGCTGCAGTTGAGGTGTTGCGAGGGCCATAGATGCAGCCAGAGCCCAGCCCAGGACGGCGGTGTCTCCAGCTCTCCTGTGTTGTTGGTAGCATCCTGTTCCTTTCAGTCCTTGACGTAAAAACTTTGGTTGCTAGCTGCTGTCTGCTGAGGATAGATAGCTCTTGACTTGATGTCACACATAGGGTCTGCCATGTTGGGACTTCCCAGGGAGCCACTGTTTCCTGTGTCACAGCGCAGGGGAGAGACTCCTGTGAGGTGGGAGCTTGTCCAGTCACAGACATCCTGTCACCTCGGCCATGTTCAGCTATAGTCAGGGGAATGTGTCAGCTGAGGGTCGAGGTCACAGGAGACACCTTAAGAGATAGCCAGACAGGACTGCATCTAATTTGTCACTTGGCCTCTTCTGGAAGGAGCCAGAGCTCAGCAGAGGAGCCTTTTAGAAGGGATAAAGATCCCTCATTGGAGCCCTCGGGCCTGCAATAGGATAGGTACACACTTTTACTTCTGGGGATGAGTCCCCAGTGTGCCTGTGCCTATGGCTTTGGCAGGAAAGCCTCTGAATTCTCTTCTGCCATGTCTGTTACTGCCCTAGCAGCTCCAGCTCTGGCTGGGCTCCGCCACTCTCCTGGGTCATGGCAGCCATTCTGCCCTCTCTCTTCCCTCAGCCAGGTGCCTTCTCCTGAAGATCTCCTGTTCCTCCCTGTGGTTTAGTTGAGCCTGAGCTCCCATGCCCAGTCTCTGTGCTCCCAAACCCAGGCTTCATGCTCCTCCCACACCTGGGCTTCATCCTCCCCACACACAGGCTTCCATATCCTTCCCACTCTTCCTGCCTCAGCCCTGACTCCCAGCATGCCTCTCACCATCTGAGGTACAGCGTGCCAATGCTGCCGCTTGTTGTTGACTCTGTTGTTGACTCTGGCAACACCAGAGTCTTGCAAGCCTAGGAGTCCTGCTTAGGCTTCTGCCCTTGCAGCCACTATATACCCCCGTGATATGTGTCCTTTCCTCACTTTTACATATCGCTGGGACATGTTGGTGTCCTCTTTCTCCTTTCAGACGTGGTCCATGGGTATCCGCTCAGTGCAGGCTTTCCCGATGACCTCTTAACTTCCGACATAGTAATCTGATTTTCTTCTTGTACTGCTCCCCCACTCTCCTGCTCTCAGGATCTTCCACACAACTTGTTGATAGCTTGTATTCCATACATTTCGATTGACTAGAGGGATGGATGGGTGGATGGTAGGTGAATGGATATGTGGATCTTTAGATAGGGAGGATAGATGGATAGATGAGTAGATAGGTAGATGAGTGAGTGGGTGGGTAGATTGATGGATGTGTGGGTGGATGGAGTTATAGACAGGTGGATGAGTAGATAGATGGATGGGTGGGTGGGAAGATAGATGGATAGGTGGATGAATGTATGTATGGGTGGGCAGATGAGTAGATGGGTGGGTGGGTGAGTGGATAGGTGGGTAGATGTGCATGGATGGATGGATAGATGAATGGATGGGTGTGTGTATGTATGTATGTATATATGTATGTATGTATGGGGTTGGTGGATGGATGGATAGATGAATGGATGGGTGTGTGTGTATGTATGTAATATGTATGTATATATGGGGGTGGGTGGATGGATGGATGGATAGGTGGAGTGGATGGGTGGATGTAGGTATGTATAAACAGATAGGGATATATGAACAGGTAGGTAGAAGCATGCCTGGTGGATGAAGGCACTGCAGTAGAGCGATGTGCAGATAAAAATATGAAAAGCCATAATCTACTTAAAATCATTTTCTGGAAGAATGCTCCATATTGTATTAATTAACTCAGAAGCTTGCAAATCAGGCAAATGCTAATGAAGAAAGGAGCTGGCAGAGTACCTGCCTCATTCATCACTTTCAGCTTAGGCCTGGCCATGCTTGTTTTTCTGGGAAATAAGGGAATGAAATTACACCGTACTGTGATTTGAGGAATTTTCACTAATTTCTAGTTTGTGGGTACACTTTAGATACTAACTCAAGGCTGGGTAATGTCTCTTCTTTCTTGGACATCTGCCACAGTGCCTAACCCAAGGCTGAATGTTTGTGTGTGTGTGTGTGTGTGTGTGTGTGTGTGTGTGTGTGCTTGGCTGGGCAAGCATAGCCAAGGTGCTGTTGTGTGTCAGACTCCTCTCCATCTGTTGCCTACAAATTCATTGATCACTGGTTTTGTGGCACTCACTTTTAGAAATCTGGATAAGATATGGGACCCAGGAATACAGTCTCATTGGGGGGCAGGGGTGAGATGCATGCAGAAAGAGGAGCTGGTGAAGGTGAGCAGAGATGAATCTTCTGAAAAGCCCCAGGCAGTTCTGATGAGCCCAGCTGAAATGATGCTTCCTTCCATGAACTCAAGAGAGTTTTAGTAGAGAAGAGGTGGCATTTGGAGGAGCCCACCGTATGAGTTGGAGGGATCTGGACCACTCTAAAATCCCTGGTGTGATTATCAACATCCCCATCTGGAGTACTTGCCCAACCCCCTCTTACCTCAGTTTTCTAAAGCAGGCTATAGGATGGAGTAGTAGTATCAACAGAAGTGTGTCTGTGATGCTCAAATATATGAGAGACCCTTAGGGGACCAACTTGACTTCTTTATCTGTGTGCGTTTATGTGTGTGGGCATGTATGTGTGTGTATGCACACAAGCACACAAGCCAGAAGACAACTGTCTTAGGGTTTCAATTGCTGTGAAGAGACACCATGACCACAGCAACTCTTATAAAGAAAACATTTAATTGGGGTGGCTCACTTAAAGTTTCAGAGGTTCAGTCCATTATCGTCATGGTGGGGAGCATGGCGGCATGCAGGCAGACATGGTGCTAGTGTAGTAGCTGAGTATCCTATATCTTATAGGCAACAGGAAGTTGACTGTCACACTGGGCGGCATTCTGCGCACAGAAAACCTCAAAGCCTGCCCTCACAGTGACACACGTCCTCTAACAAGGCCATATTCATGCCAACAAAGCCACACCTCCCAAGAGTGTCACTCTCTTTGAGATACATTCAAACTCAGCAACCTTGGCTGCCGTTCCTCAGGGGCTCTCCAGTCTGTCTTCCCCTCCCCTCCTTCCTTCCCTTCTCCTTCCCTCCTCCCCTCCCCTCCCTCATTTCTTCCTTTTTTTTTTTTTTTTTGAGATGTGTCTCTCATTGGATAGGGTCCCATTGGGTAAGCTAGACTGGCTGTCCAGTGAGCCCCAAAGATCCACCCGTCTCCACCTCCCCAGCACTGGGATCACAAGTTCACGCCACTGTGCCTTGTTGTTGTTTGTTTGGGTTTTTTAAATGTGGGCTTTGGGGAACAATATTAGGTCCTCATGCTTGCAATGCAAACGTTTTACCGACTGTGTTGACACCCCAGCCCTGTCTCCACTTGAGTTGTTTACAGAAGTGGCCCTGCTCCTAAGAGGATGGCAGAGTTGAGCAGTGAGAATTGCCTTGAAGCTGGAGGGCAGATATGAGACTGGAGTTGAGGATGTGGCTCTCCTGTATAGCGTGGTTACCTGTGGATTGGAGGGACCAGTCACTGGGTTCCTGTTCTGCTTGGTCATATACTGAGTTTTTGTTCAGCATTCTATCATCTGAATCATGGTTTTCTCTGGCTGTGGCTAAAATTAGCTTGCATTTCCTGAGCTCATTCCAAATCACAGTCCTATGTCCCACAGGCTTGCTGCCTTCAGGGTTATACTGTGGGGATTCTCTCCTTTCACCCTGGCCTTGATGTTATCCTGGCCCTCTGGTCATCATGCCTTATCTTACTGTAACACAGTTGGGCCTACCTGGCTTTCCTGGGGACTCTTAGTCCCTCTGGCTCTGGCGTGAAATTTGACTATATTTGGAAGAGGCTCAATTAAGGAAAATCTCTTGACCATGGTTTCTGTGGTGGTTTGAAAGAAAATGGCCCCCAAAAGGAGTGACACTATTAGGAGATGTGGCCTTGTTAGAGGAAGTGTGTTACTGTGGGGCCCCAGGCTTAGAGGTCTCTTTTGCTCCACCTTCGCTCACTATGACACTGAGTCAACTTCCTGGTGCCTCCTGATCAAGATGTAGCCAGCATCATGTCTGCCTCTACATCACCATGCTCCTTGCCATGATGATAATGGTCCAAACCTCTGAACTGCAAGCCTCCACCTCAGTTAAATGTTTTCCTTTACAAGAGTTACCATGGTCATGGTGTCCCTTCACAGCAATAGAAACCCTAACTAAGAAATAAGTTGGTACCAGAGACTAGGGGAATTGCTGTGATAGGCCTGATCATGTTTTTGTTTGGAGGAATGTGGACTTTGGTACTTTGGGTTAGGAAAGCAGTGGAATGTTTTAAGTGCTGCTTAATGGGCCGTACTAGTAGGAGCATGGAAGACAGTGGTGCTGACAGTGATTTGAATTGTGGGGAGCTGGCTCAAGAGGTTTCAAAGGAGAAGAATTTTAGTATGTTGCCTAGAATTCATTCTTGTGATAGTTTGGTGAAGAATGTGGCTGCTTTTTGCCCTTGTCTGAAGAGTCTGCCTGAGGCTAAAGTGAAGAGTTTTTGGATTAATTCCATTGGCAGAGGAAATCTCAAAACAGTATAGACTCTGTCCTCTGGTTATTAGTGTTAACCTTAACGAAGATTTATAATGAAAAGGAGCAAGCTGATCAAATAAAAATACAAAATGTACGCATTGTGAAAAGGGGCACCAGGAAGTAGAATAGAGCTAAATCATGTGTTTAAGGAGATAACTGATTAAGAAATGGAATAAAGGGAGTGGTGACTGTTGTGCCCAGATCTCGACCCCCAGAGAGACCACTGAGGATGAGTATACCAGAATGCAAAAGCAAGGTTTAATCCAAAAGCAATACAAGCCTAGGCAGGGACTTCGTCCAACAGATCCAACGCAGTGGAGGCTGGAGGAAGTGCCCACCTTTCTGCAAGCTCAGTTTTTAAAGGAAAAAAATCACAAGGTTACATCGTTTAGGGGTGCTAGTATGGGTACAATTCTGATTGGCTTGTGTCTAGGAATTCCAGAAATCACGATTCAATTTTCCTTCTAAGGAGGTGGTTGTCCCTCACCATTCCTCATTGGCTGCCCCCAGATGGGGGCATCTGGTGATTACACAGTCACTATGGAAACTAGGGTCGGGACATTCTATGGTCAAACAGTTACCTCGAGAACCAGGGAGAGAACATTCCATAGTCTGGCAGTCATTACCTCCTGACTACCTTGTGACTCTGTACTTTTACACTTCCTGGTTTCTGGAATCTGGACTGACTGGTTTCAGTAACTCCTGGCCTGTTCCAGTAACTTATGGCCTGTAGCTAAAAGGAGAAGTCTTAGGCCTTAGTTTTAGGGTGAAAGCATTTTGGCCTTACTTTGGTTCCACAGTGACCTCAGGGCAAGATCCCACCCAGCTAAGTTTCCAACTTGTGAAAAGGAACTAAAGAAAATCTTAGAGTCAGGTGTGGTAGTGCATGTCTCTAATCCCAGCACTGGGAAGGCAGAGGTTGGCAGATCTCTGAGTTTGAGGCCAGCCTGGTCTAGAGATTCCGTTTCAGGACAACCAAGCTTAGGCAGTGAAGGATAGAAAGCTGATGAAGATGTAATTGAACAAGTGGGCCATGTTCCAGCCCTAGTAAGCAGCAGAACTTGACAGCTTCGGCCATGTGGCTCTGGCATTAAGGATAGAAGAAAGGGGCTATGGAATTTGCCCAAGACTAAGGAAAGCTGCTGATGCAAGGCATGTGTCAGGGGTGTCCTTGAATGGAGGACTAGAGAGGCCATTGTGTGAAGCTGTGACATTGAAGCCTGGATTGCCTTAGACAAACCAAGATGTTGGAGAGGCTAGAGCCCAGGGATACCTGCTGAGGAGAGCTGCTAATAGGGAGTGGAACCGGCCCAGGAGAAAGAAGTGTGTTGCAGTCAACAAAGCCGAATAGAGTTGGAGATCTGAAGAGTGCTTTGACATCAGGCATGGAGATGCATAGTTTGGAGTTTGTCCAGTTGGTTTTCGGTCTTGCTTTGGTCTAGTATTTCCTCACTATGCTCCCTTCCCTATGTTTTGCAATGGTAGTGTATATCCTGGGCATTATATGTTGGAGGTATGTGATCTGCTTTTTGGTTTTGATTTTACAGGGGGTTACAGTTAAGTGATTGCATGAATCAAAGAAGAGACTTTGAAACTTTGGACTTTTAAACATTGTTGAGACTGTGATAAATTATGGGACCCTTTGAAGTTGGACTAAGTGAATAATGGCATTATGATATTGTTATAAGCTTATGGGGGCCAAGGAGTGGAATGTAGTAATTTGAATGCAATTGGCCCCCATAATCTCATAGGGAGTGGCACTATTAGGAGGCCTGGTTGTCTTGTTGGACGTGCACAGACCTCGCTTGGGGTCCTCATGGCACAGGCCTCATCCACAGCCTCTGCCTGTGCAAACTGGCTGTGCTGGTGCAAGGGCTGCATTATTTCTGCCATCCCAATGTCGTGTTTGGACTCATACCGTCCTTTTTGCTGTTTCAACCCCAAACACACTTGACACATCCATCTCCATCAGTTCACACATGCCCATGTTCTTTCTGTGTCTTGAGACTTTCCCAATGTTCCCTCACCCTGCTGTGGGTCTGAAAGCAGGCTTGGTCCTTTAAGACACTGGCACCTACTAACCAGGAGGGTGCTGCTGCATTCTTCCTAAGATAAAGGTCCTGTGGCCAAGGGTCTGTGTCCCGTGTCACACTGCTTTTCCTTACTCATCTTACTGCTGTACGCACAGTCCTGCACAGGACGCCACTCCTAAAATCTGAATTATAGTTGCTTAGTAAATGTGCAGTGAGTGAGTGACTGGTAAGAAACCAGCAAAGGGAAGTTGGTGAAGACTGTTTTTGAGCAACTAAAAATGAGGCTGTGTCTGGGAGGCACTGCAGAACCCAAGAGATCTCGGCCAAACCAGCCTGAGCCTAGCTTGCAATATCTGTGGTATTTGAGGAAAGGAAGGGGGGCTCCTAGAGGGCTTTCTAACAGTGAGGCCAGGACAAGAGCTGCTGTGCAGCATCTGGAGCCACAGCTCTTGTGGAGACTTGAGCCCAGAGGATTAAAAGTCACATATCGCAGCCTCTTGCCCATCACTTGATGAATGATGTCAGGTTTAATATATGGTACTATTATCATCACCCAGAATTCTCCACCACCTCCTTTTTCCCTTAAGGCAAAAAAGCAGCAGAAGCTTTCTAGCGCATCCGCTCTATTATTACTTCTCTGGTTATGAAAATGGCCAGATTGATAAAGGAGAAGGGCTTCCTACTTCCCAAAATGTTCTTTTCTAGAGAGAACCATGAATATCTTATGAAACACACCACTGCGTCCTGCTGCGACGCCCGTGCTGAGCCTCCTGCAGGGAGTTGCCTTATTAAAGTGTTCCTTTGATGGAGTGGGCTGGCATGCACAGGAAAAACTTGCTTCTGTTCAAAAAAACCACTCGAACATCATAAATATTTTAGGGGGTTTCATCTGTGCTCTGTTTTCTGTGCACTAATCTGCCATATTGATCACTTTTCAAGACAAAGTATCCTGCCTTGTTATCACCAAAATCACACACACACCACCACCAGTGTCTTTCCTTCCATGTTTGGTCCTCAGTTCATACGGAAGGTTCTCACCCCTGCCTCGGGAATCTGATAATTTCCCATCCCCTAACTCGCATGTGCAGTCAGGCTCAGAACATGAGGATTATGTGGTCTGTGTGTTCTGTCCCACCCAGTCCACTGGTACCCTATGCCAGCCATGTGCAAGGGTCTGTGTTGGCTGGCATGTCCTTTGTGCTTCTGGCCCCCACTGCCCCATGTTCCAGAGGTGGCCACATACCAGGCCTGAGGCCCAAGCTGAGGAATACGAGAAAAGGGAGCTTTCATTGGACATAACCTTTAGGATTCTTTTCAGAAACTGGTGGCAACGTCAGAGAGGGCATGGTGCAAACTGAATAGAGGGCTTCTTTTCAAAAGCCTCGTGGTGGGAGGCGGGAGGTATGGTGAAGCAGTTGACTACAGCTGGCAACCTCTGGGGGACCCTGAAAACCTCCAGGTAGGGGGGCACAGGAGGACTGTGGGGAGAGCGCTTCCCCATGGGAGGACAAGGCTCAGCCCATCTGGATTGTAGGGTTTCTTTTCTGACCGTACTCACTCTCCTGTCTCGTCTCTTGCTGATTCTGCCCACAGGTCTGGGTCCAGCTGGAAGCCCAGAGTGCAGAGAGCTTGGAGCTACGGTCGTCTGAGCCCTTCACTTGTAGCACAGTGCAGGCTAGAGGCAGGTTTTCAGGGACACACAGGGCATGTTCAGCCTGAAGGATTTAAGTGTCATTAATTTTCACAAGGCTTCTGTGCTGAATCTACCGAGCAGGCTTGTAATGGCCCTCCCTAATGTTCATTATAGTAGGAAACAGGGCTTTGTGTCCCAAGATGTGACATGTAGCCCATGCTTTCAGGTGGAAAGGTTATGGGTTGGCAAATGAGGGGACAGATGTTTTGAGAGATTTGTTAGGTTGTCCAGCATCCTACAGTTTTTGTAGGGGACTGTGCCAGATGCTAATCTGGATTGTCTGTTCCATTCCACTGTCCCTCAGACCTTCTGTACATACAGGGCACAGTTATTTAGGAACAGAGGTTTGGAGTGGATTAAATTCTTGACCTCCCTACTTCCCAATTCATCCTGACAAATTTATGAATCAGTGATTCAGATACTACCCAGAGAAAGTCTGCTATGTAATTTACTTATGATCTCTCAGTTTACATGCATGTACACACGTGTGTATATCTGTCTTTCTCTTTACATTTTGAAAACCGAGTATTTCACTTGACTCTTCATGCCTTTTCATTTCTCTCAGAATAAAGTCCAGCAGTGTTCCCAGGCCCCCTTGCCTTCTTACCATGCCAGCCCCATCTCTTCTCATAGCTGTGAGCGTTGGCACATGCTTATCTCTTGCCTGGGGCCAGGACACTGTTCCTCCCAGCATCCTTCTCTACACTGGTATGCCTTGAGTTCTCAGATGTCACTCCCCAGTGAGTGCTCTTCCCGACCCTCCTGCCAACTTGGTGCCTCCTTGTAATAACAGGTTCTACCCATCCTGGTAAGGAGCCACTTACTGAGTCTTTCTGCTAATAGCTGGAGGCGGGCTATTCCTTTGTATATGCCGTTCCACTCAATATACAACCCTGTGCCGAACTGAGGATATGATAAGCAACTAAGCGAAGCCGTGGCCCTCAGGAGGACTGACATGGGCCTAACACTGTGTAGTTACTGCATGATTGCCAGCCAGTCACAGCCCTAAGACATCAGACAAGGGGTCCAGGTGATCTGGGCTTGACAGCTGAGTGGAGGAAGGGCCAGGTGTCTGGTGTGGTTCCTGCCTGTGGCTTACCATGGCACAAGCCTCCTCTGAGGAAGGTCACTGGCTGTCCCTACTGTAGTTCTTTACAGTATCTTGGGGTTGTCACCACCCAGAGTCTGTGGAACCCAGGGCAGGAACTCCTCTTTGGGACAGTGTCCATGTGTCAGAGATGGGCTTCAGCAAATGCTTCTTCTGACTGAACTCTGGGCCAGATGCTGAGTGGCTGTGAGGATGCAGGGTGACTTTGAGGATGCAGGGCAGCTGTGAGGATGCAGGGAAACTGATACCAAGGGGAGGAAAGAAGATAGGTTGCTATTTTGAGCATCTGCATGTGACTTGGACCTGTGAAGCCTAAGGAAGTTACCTGGCAGGAGTCTCCTAACAAACCTTTGTTCATGAAGAGACAATGAGGGAATGCCTGGCATTCCCTTTCTCCCTTCCCACCTTCACTTGCTCTGTGGTGCCCTCCCAACAGCTTCCACACCTTTGGCATTGACTCCCCTGCTAGGCCTCATGGACAGGCCCAGTTCAACTGGTTTCCTGTTGGGACAGCCACCAGGAGCCTGTGGTAGGCATCATGCCTACTCCTCAGATAAGTCTAACAGGTGCTCTGGGGTAGGGTTCTGAGGTGCCTCCTTAGTTACAGCTTCCCTGGGATGCACAGTGAGGACGAACCACAAACCTGGTTCACTTCCTGGGGTGCAGACCTTGGCTTGGATGGCATCGTTGCCCTTTGTTTAGGCGCCAAATGAGAAGAAGGCAAGGAGGTTCTCAGAGTAGCACTAGCCTTGACTTTGTTCTGAAGGTTGAGGTCAGCCCATGATTCACCCACTAAGCATTTTGTCCTTTGTCTTTCCTTTTGATCTGGGTACCAGACTTTTTTTAAAAATAATGATTATGAACTGATTTGACCCAGCGAGTTACTGTTTCCCCTGTCCTTGCCATTCCAGGGATAGGCTGGAGTGGAGCCTCCTGCCACTCAAGACTGAGGCAGTAGAGTGGCCCGCCCTGGGCTGTCTCACTGGCTGCCATGCAGGAAAGGAAGGGGTAGGACTTAGGGGTCATGGCAGGAGTACTGAGTGCAAGGCATTTCCTTCCCAGAGCCTCTGTCCACTGGGTGAGCAGTGTCAGCCACTGAGATGTTACTGAAGGGCAAAGCCAGCCCAGGAGTCGGGAGAGAAACTGGGAAGAGTTACCTCGGTAGAAGTTAAGTCTAGAAGGCATCAGGATGAGCTAATCCAGAGAAGGAGGTCTTGATGTCCAAAGGAAGAAGGCAGCAAGAGAGGGTGCACCGGGGTGCCTTGCATAAGCCATGGTCCCAGAGAAGGCAGGCACGGTACCTCCAGCAGAAAGCATTGTTCTCATGGCTCTGAGACTCATACCTAACGACACGGAGGCAGGGAGGAGACAGATTCAACAGCATCAGTTGAGGGCTCCAAAGAGCTGACTGTTGAGAATGAATTTCCAATTGATTTGTCAACTCACCATATGTTGGTGGAGTGTTCATGACGTGTCAGACACTGTTTGAGCAGTCACCCTTTCCTGGAGATCTGCAGACGAAGCCTGTGGGTGCTCTCACTAATTATCCCTGTGCCACTGAGCCAGTGACGGGAAGCCTAATACTGTAGGCTCTTTATTGGGAAGAGGATGCCCAGAAGTAGGGGAGGAACTGAGGAAGGAGAGAGGGGGAAGAGGGCCTCTTGGATTCCCTGTAAGCCACATTCTCACCAGTCAGGCTGCCACCTCTTGCTAGGAGGGTGGAAATAACCTAACAGGGCTTTCTGTGACTGTGCAAGCAAGTTTAGTGCTTATGGCTTGGAGTCTTGGTATGGGTATAGCACAGATAACTGTCAGAGCCAGTCGGGGCAGAGTTAACTATGGCAGCTTGAACTTGGTCAGTATGGCTGGTTAGGACTTTTTCTAAAAGGGCTAAGGGGCTAGAAGGGAGTGGAGCTTCTGTACCATGGGGAACGTCAAAGAAGTACCATGTCAACCTCTTTGTTAGGCAAGGCTGAGGGCAGCAGTGTTCCCCCCTAAGACAGCAGCCTCCTTAGCACCCTGAACACAGCGTCCCACAGCTGCCTGCTTCAGAGCTGGGGCCTTTAAGTTACCCGGATAAATCATCAGGGATAATGTGGCCTGGTCGGGAGAGTCACACTGTATGTCCAGGCTGGCCTTAAACTTGCTATATAGCCCAGGATGGCCTTGAACATGAACTACTTCTACTTCAGCCTTCCAAGTGCTGTGGTCATAGGCGTGTGCCACCACACCTGGCTCTGGAGCTGGTTCCGAACAACTCCGTAGCTGTCTCCCACACCACTTCCCACTACACACCTATTGTCTTCACAAACCGTTGGAAGTCCATGGACGGGTCTACAGTAACCCTCCTGTGGGTCCTCGATGTGTTCTGTACCCCTTTATGTGTCTTCTTCCCTCTTCGGTGCCTTCCTTTCTTGTCCCGCTTCAAAATATGGCATCTCCTGGCTTGGAGAAGCAGCCTTCCAGGGTCCACTCAGGCAGAGGTAGCAGCCCGCCCCCTGGTCTGCAGCCCGGAGTTGACTATGTACAACCTTTACATAGCTAGCACACCCTACTTACAGCCTCTTGCCGTCTTTGTTTGAAGTTCTTGAATATAGAGATGCATTCTGATAAACCACTTGCTGGGGCCTCTCATTTACATACCCATAGACACAGGCCTCCATAGCTGAGGATTCAGCTGTTGTCATTTTCTGCCCTTCTCTTCCGGATGGACAGGCAGAGTGGTGGATAACTCACAGACTCTGAAGCCAGGCCACCCAGGTTCAAGGCCTGGCTCTGTCTCTTCCCAGCCTGCTAGCTACTGTCTCCAGAGGTCATCAACAGCTCCTAGGAGAGTCCCTAAAGTCAGGACTAAAAATAGCAAGTCTCAGCTGTGTCCTAATACCTCCTCAACTCTGAGTGCTGTTCTAGAAGTTCATATTAGGGTCTCTCAACATGATGATTTTTCCTGGATAAGTCTTTGTTGTGTTTGGGGGGGGTGTTATAAAATATAGGCTGTATTAGTTACTTTTCTGTTGCTGTGATAACACACCAAGACCAAAAGCAATTTAAGGAAGAAAGCAATTAATGTCGGGTTCCAGCAGGCTGAAGCCTTCATAGCAGGGAAGGCATGGTAGCCAGCCTGAGCAGGAAGCTGAATGATGAGTCTACAACGTCACCGACTGCAAACTAGTAATCAAGCTCAGGAGCCTTTGTGGGTCTGGGGAGTGGGGCATTTCTGACTCAAACCACAGCATGGGGGAATTGCGCAACATCCTTCACAGACTGCTGTAGCACTCAGCATGTCCTTGGGTGTTGACTGTCAGCCTTTATATTGAAAAACATCCCCTGAAGGTGGAGGGGAAAAAAAAAAAAAAGAAAAGAAAGCTTCTCTGGGGGTGGGGGTGGGGAGCCCCTGCTTCTGGGTGGGTCCCTGCTCATTCCCCAGGATCCACTGAGGAGATCTTACTGTTAGTCTGGTTTACTCATGAGGAAACAGACACACAGTATTGAATTCCAGGTGCTTCTGAAAAAAGATTTCCTAAACTTTCCTCAGTGGCCCAGAAAAGAGCCGAAGGGACCAAGGAGGGAGTCACAGTGGTAAGCACAGTGGAGACCTCTCTGCTCACCCTCGGCTCTCAGTCTGCACTTTGGGAGAGGCGTAGCAGAGGGGCCTTTGGGTTCTTTTCACCTGTTGTTCTGGCTGTTTACACCCCTCCCCCGGTTGTTGTTGTTGTTGTTTTGCTATTGGCTGTCAGCACTGTGTCCTCCTGGTAACTCCTGGTAAACTAGACAGTTCTCTGGCTCTTAAGAAACATTCTGTGTAAGGGTTGGGGTTTTAGCTCAGTGGTAGAGCGCTTGCCTAGCAAGGGTTCTGGGTTCGATCCTCAGCTCCAAAAAAAAAAAAAAGAAAGAAAAAGAAAAAGAAAAGAAACATTCTGTGTCACAACTCAATGAAATAGGAGCCCCAGAGACATTGGGATCCAGCCACAGCCTGCAGGTTGCAAACTGAGCACTGAACTACCCCTCAAGAAGCATTGTCTATGCAAATGAGACTCAGACCTCCAGTGTCCCAGGGGTCTATGCCCCCTCCTCTCCTGCAGGCCTCTGCAGTTACATAGGGCCGGCCCTTCCATTCCCAGCTCCACCATGTCATGAGCCAAGGGCTGAGGAGAGAGGTAACGCTGGCCCTGGATAAAACCGAACCAAAACAAGGGAATGTGTGCTTGGCCACCTGTGCAGAAAGCATGTTCATTCTATAATCTGTTCTCTTGTTTGTTTGTTGTTGGGTATTTCATTTATTGAACACACATTTATTTTCAGGATATGCCAATGCAGATTCTGACTTCTCATATATATGGGAGTTTCAGTTTCACTGATGCTCAGGTTAGGATTTTCGATTAAATTTACACAAATCTATTACGTCTCTTTCTTTTATTTTCACCTGAGTAGTCTGGAAAAAAAATACCACACACATACATACATTACAGTTTTAAAAATTAAAGTTAACATGGGGCTGTAAACTTTGAGAGAAGCAATCATTTTAAATTATATTAGTAACCACATAGTTTGTCTTTTACAGGGCGATGTGAGTTACAGCAAATTTTAACTACATTCTATTATGAGCTGAAGGCAGATGCAAACTAACAATTAGCATATAAAAACTCCACAGAACAAAAGGAGCCTCCTGTCAATCAAACAGCCTCTGCAACCTCTGAGCTTTTACTGGGGTCAGATAACTGACCACCAGCAGGCAGGAAGGCAACCCAGCGCGCATTGTTACAGGCCCCAAGTCTATTATCACATAAAAGTACACTCCTCTCCCAACCCCCGCCCCACACATCAAACAATCAGAACCACAAAATCCTTACGCAATTTCTTCCTGGCCGAAGGTTCTGGTATGATTCCTAGCCTTTGTTTCCTCATATGTGAACCTAACAATAGGCTCTTCTCTGTAAATACTGAAGAATGAACGAGAACATCCAGGACACGGGGGCTTTTCCCTGGCGCGGGGCGGGCATTCCTTGTGGCACCATAGTCTGCAGTATGATCCCCAGCGCGGTCAACAAATAAGATGAAAATCCTTTGTCTTAAAGCTCCCCCAATACAAGATGCCATATTGCTGGATTTTTTAGAAATAGAAAAAGGTGGGACTTTGAAATTTCATCTTTTGGTTAGAAATTATTAGTGCGTCACAAATTGCCCTCTGGTGTGCGCTCGGAAACCCCGTTGCTTAAACACAAATTGCCCTTTGGTGTGGGCTCGGAAACCCCGTTGCTTGAACACACAAATTGCCCTTTGGTGTGCGCTCGGAAACCCCGTTGCTTGAACACACAAATTGCCCTTTGGTGTGCGCTCGGAAACCCCGTAGCTTGGCTTTCTGGATGACATAATCCAGAAGCTTTCTTAAAGCTCGTTTTTGAGGACGTGGTCCCTTTTGTGGTTTTACAAAGCACGCACAAGTCTGCGATTAAAGCATTGGTTCGGCCGCCCGGTAGGGGTACGCCTTCACTAGGGCACCCAGGTTACCACTGCAAAAGCAGTCTCTAGTGTCCCAGAGTCTGCACAACAACAGCGAGGACGCCCAAATCTCCCACAGGAGGGGCAGAGAAGGGAGAGCTCTGGGAAGGGCCTTGCGTGGCAATGCCGTTTGTTTCCCATGCTCACTGGTGGATCCGGCTAGGTTCCTTCCATTGAGCATTTTGCTGCTGCCGCCTGGTACTAAATACCTGTGTGAACACCCTTACCCCGCAGACCCAGTGGGACATTCATTTGTGTCGTATCCTAACTACGTGGATACACTCTCCCCGAGGACATTCTAAACTGGGGATCGCGTGTGACAGCATGGATAACCCAGGTAGATGCTGTCCCACTGGGACATGCGCCATGCGCCAATCACCAACGGGGCACCCTGGTTTCATTGTTCCCTCTGCGCCTCCGCACCGAGTAGCTAGGCCGTCATTCTTACCCGCTAGATGGCATCGCTGAACACACTCGTACCGCACTGCCGCACTGCCGCGCCTGCGCACTGAGATCGGCTATTCGGCTGATCGCCATGCTGCCGCCGCAATTGTGTTCCGAGTATCCGCGTGGACGATCTTCCCTGCCGACTCAGCGGAGCATCCCTAGGCCTTAGACCCCCAACGCAGCCACGCGCCGATACCCTGAAGCTGCTGCCACAGTGGAGCCGCGCTAATTACCTGTGTGGCTTCACCGCGTAAGAATTGCTGGCCTTTGTGCCCACGCATAGAGGACTTGGACTATCCTTCCTACCCGATAGACGGCGCCCTAGAACGCGTCCCTACCCTGCAGAGTGCCGCATTGCCGCGCCTGCGCACTGAGATCTTGGCAGACTCGCCCTGCAGACTGCGTCACTACCGCCTCCGCACCAGATCTCGACAGACGCCTCTAACCCTGCAGACTGCGGCACGGCTGGGAGCTGAGCGGACATCTTGACCGCGCCTCTGTGTCCACGACCGAGGAGGAAGCAGAGGCTGCCCTTATTGCGACGTTAGGCTGGCTGTGGTAGCCGATCCGAGGGCCTGCACCATGTATCTGTACGCTGCTGCCGTTCTCGTGGATGGTCCCGTTCCTCCAGGAAGAGCCGTGCCCTATTTGTTGAAGATGGTTGGGTAGAAGACCTACAGCACAGACCGCGGAGCCGGGAGTCTTCTGCTTGTGGTCTCTCATAACAATGTGGCCGAATGATGGGCAGACGGCGGAGGCGCCGAAAAAATCCAGATGTCTGTGTTGGTGCAGCTCGTGCGTGGGCGGCCCTGAGGAAACTGCGAGCCCAGAACCCTACAGCTCTCGAACCGACTGGAAGCCTGGCCGATCTTTTCACCCTGGAGACGCTGGCACAGAGGCTCGCCATCACCCTGTGGATAGGTGCATTGTGGTCGTCACATAATGATGAGCCATGGAAGGTTTCCAGCCGCTTGGCTGGGACTTGGGCGTGTGCCCTTACCCAGCCATTACCTGCCCAGCTTTTTGTCATCCTGATCCTGGGGAACTATACATATTTGTGGCTACACTTCAGTGACTGAACGGATGTCTTTACCTTGGGGATAGAGGCACAGTGGAGCCGCGCGCGGATACCCAGCGAAACGTCCTTGCGGGGTGGATAGTTTTAATGGTTTTGATGGCGTAGTAAGGTTTTGTGTGGTATTTTTATTCCCGCGGATGGTGGCGCAGCAGAGCTGTGCACTGATAATCTCAGAGCACTTTACCTTGCACTGTTGCTGCTTGTGCCCTAAGGAATTAAGAGTATGGCCTTATTTTGGGATGATGGTTTAACAGAGTCGGTACTACCCGGTGGATGCCTGCATTGTGGTGTTTGCATACCAGATGCCCGAGTGGATCTTATCCTGGGGATGTTGATACAACAGAATTCCTTATCTTGTGGATAATTGCGTCATAGCAGCTGTGTTTGAAAGGCCTAAGAGGATCTTATTCCGCGGATGGTTTCCAAGCGTCCTCCTCCTGCGCGTAACCACATTGCGACTGCTACGTTTTGTTGTAGGGATAGGGCCACCGCGGAACGTTCTTCCTTATTCTGTGGGCAGCTCCATAGTGGTGGCGCGTACTAAGGATCGGAGCGGATCTTACCCCCAGATATGGCGGTATAGTCAAGTATTTAGAACCCGCCGGAGCTGTACGGCCATAGCTGCGCAGTAAGGTTGAGGATGGTGGTACGACTGACCGAGCACCTTTACCATGTGGATATATGCGCTGTGGTGGCTGGGCATTAAGGATCCGGGCTGATGTTTTTCTGGAGCTGGTGGTACAGTGAAAAGCGTCCTTTCATTGTCGCATTGCGGCGGCTGCGCAGTAAGAATCTAGGCAGATGCCTCATCTTGGGGATGGTGGCGCCATCTTGGGGATGGTGGCGCAGTGGAGCGCCCTCTCTCTGACGGTGACCTCATTGTTGCGGCTGCGTATTAAGATCTGGGATCTGTAAAGATGCGTCACAGCTACATCTGCACACCCAGGATCCGGGCAGATCTTTTTACTCTGTATGTAGCTGGGTGGATGGCCTCAGCTTTTTGTGCCACCATGTTACCGTGGAGCCCTGTGTTACCTGTGTTGGTAACCCTCTGGATGGCTCTTATTCTGTGAATAGTTGCATCCCCGGGGCCATGCTCTAAGGACCTGCTCTAAGAATGTGGGTGGGCTTTCAAACCCTCCGGTCTGTTAACAGGTCCATTTGTACACCAGGATCAGAGCGTTTACTTCCACAGAACGTCTCACAGCAGGGAGCTGGGTGGATGTCTTTGTCCTGAGAGCTATGGTATGACCGGGTGGAGTCTTTGCATTGTGGATAGCCACACTGGGTGGC